GAAAACATCGATAGGAACACTTAAACGTTCCCATGATAAGTATCAGCAAAAGCATTGGCATCTATATATTTCCTCAATGACAAGCGAACAAATATATTGCTACAAAAGGTTCATCGTAAGTTCAGTGGCAATTTGGACGACGAGTATTCTACTAACCTTGATGCTATCGGTATTAAAGATCGAGGAACAATGAAAAGCACATGCACCCATAAAAGTAGGGTTCTGTTAGATTGTTGGTGCTATTTCCTTGGATTTTGAGTTTTGGAATGAGTAATTTATGGATTGGGTTGACGAATATTTCAGGTCTTAAAATTGTACCTCGGGATGGTTTATACAGTAATCAATAAAAAACTAAAAGTAAAAATATCTCTTGGGTAGTTACGCATTTTGCGGGCTAAATAATTATTTCAAAAAAATAAATTCTGAACTTTGGACAATGTAATTTTCTTATATCGTTATGTAGTGAAGACAAGTGACAAGAAAAAAATCTTCACTATAGCTTATAACAATCGAAAGTTTAATAATAATTCTAAGAAAATTTAAATGAGAGATTCACTATTTGAGTTGTGCTGATTTTATGTTGAAGGGAAAGTTGGATGTAATGAACAAATATTTGGAGATGTCCCTCAATTCGTGAATTATAATTTGCAAATTCTTTTGAAAATTCGATAAAATATTATCTCGTATTATCCACATATTTACGTATTTTGAAAGACTTACATTATACATGTACAGTACAACATGCAATTTCTTTTTATATAGAATCTAATAATAGAATAAGTATGATAGCTTGCCATTTTTTTGTATAATCAGAAATTTTTCTTTTAATATGCTACAATACCATCACATTCACAATAAAACACTGACAACTATCTGTCTACTAAGTTAAGTTGAGAATGCAATGAGGAAATATAGATATTTTCATATAATAAGAAGTTTATGATTATAAAGTGAGAAATAAAGAATAGTAACATCGGAAATCAAGTTTTTCTAAGACTTGTGTTAATGATCCTACAGGAAAATTGCATCCGGAATTTTACGTGATTTATACGGGATATTACGTTGTGCATATGGGCGTTTACGGAGTCATACACAATGATTATGAACGTGTCAGAACTTCATAGGATGTATGTCAGGAATGCATAAGAAACTTGAAAAGTTTCGGCTTGGAATGCATCAGAAATTAAACCTATATGGAAAATCATGGTGTATGTCAGGGAGGCATAAGGAATACAAACTTTTGTGAACATAATATACACATAATGAATTAGAAAATGATATATATTGGGAAATACACTTGGAAAAATCAAAATAATGTGAGTGGATGCCAGTCTATAAATCAGCAAGTATCAGATAGTGAAATAAAATTAAAAATTGTTTAATAATGAGAATAAAATAGCATTGAGATTCATAAAAGAGTCAATAAAAATAAAGAATGTGGTAATGAGAGATCAATGTTTAATGTGTTAAAAAGAAATAGAATGAAAACTTAAGAGAAAACTGCAGCAGCATTATTAAGATGTTTAATCTCACTATAATGAGAATATTGTGAGTTTAGAAGGGTATCGACATTCAAGATTTTAGTATATGATTTGGTAATACAAAACTTGGTTTAACGTTAATCAGATCAAACAATTGATAAATACTGTACTTAGCCATGGCAAAAAAAAGTGTCAGTTCATGTGATTCCGATTATTGGATAATGATATTATTATCGTTATGGTTCTTTGATATGAGAAGTTAAAATTTTACTCAAGTTAAAAAAAGGAATTTTCTTACCAAATCCCTTCGTTGTGTATACACTTTAACCCTTTTTGCAGGTTGCCTGGCTAAAGACAACTTATCAAATTCCTTTCAGCTTTTAAAACTTTTTGCTAGATAATCCTGAAGGGTTCCGCCATTAACATAATTAAATGTCAGCATGTATTTTTGAATACAATCATAAACTTTTATACAATCACATCCTATACAATCACACTCTCCATTCAATCATAGGTTTTCCCGATCCCAGTTATTATGAGCATAGGAAATTTGACCTCTAGATAGTTACAACCTCTTTATATTCACATTTTTGCTGTTCCCGAGGGTGTGATTAAATAGACATGACTACATTGGGACCTAAGTAAAAGACATTGCATTTATTCATATATAACTAACTATACAATCAACCCTCCACAATTGCATCCTTCATAAATGCACACCCCCAAAAAATGCACGCTATTTCTTATTCCCAAACTTGGGAATTAGATATAAATGCAGACTCGCCATATTTTATACTGCACGGTTTTTTTTCCAAACTTTTATATAAAACAATATCCTCCCTAAATACACACCTGTGACTTTCTTGTGATTTTATGTAATCATAGTGCGAATGATTTCTGTTAAAATAATGGCAAACATTGGTAGTTACTTATCGGTAACTCCCGAAATCGTGTTCGTTCATTCGAGATTCAATGAAACAGGCCACTGTTGATAATTTTTTATCAGAACAGACAAAGCAATAAATTTCCTTTTTTAATGAATTCTTCTTGGTTTCGTTCATAGCTTTCGTTCGTTCTTTACATAAATACCTTTTAAAAACTATCATCAAGTCATCGTTTAAATTTGCTTTATATCTTTGCTCAAAATGTCCAAAATCAAAAGATTTTCTGAAATTGCTCAAAATGTCCAAAATCAAAAGATTTTCTGAAATTGCAGTTTCTATCGATGACATCATGAACATTGCGGTAGATTTTACATTTAATAAGCAAAGATTAAAAAGAAAATGAGCGAACGAATGATTGAATCGTTATATGTATCGCAAATCAATCAAATTTGGTTCAGTATAAAATACATGTATATAAAAAAAAGTGACCGTCCCAGCGTGTGCAGCCAAATTTTGATGAAGGTTAGTTTATTTGATATAAAATAAAAACAAGTCTTTTAAAAAAAATATACCTAGTTTTTCTACCTTTTTCATCTTAAGACGGAAAAGCTCCCCGCTTGTTGCTGACGAATGATCGTAAGACAACTTTGGAGTTCGGTGTTCGAGACGTCTCAACTATGGCAGAAATATGTGGCAGCATTCTTTCTATGGCACATAAATACATCATACGGATAAAAAATAATAAATTCGACCTATACGAGGACCCCAAGCAATACATAAAAAGGCAGCAAGATAAAATGCATAGCAAACACTAAAATTTGACTTGAGTTTGCCTATTTTTGGTTGAAACTTGAAATTTACTATGTAAAATACTATTTTGAAGATTTTTTTTCAAATCCCGTAAATTTCTGTGATTTTTTTATATATTGCTCAGGTCCTTCTGGACATCCGAGAGTTCACAAAATCAACATTTTGCTAGAAAAATAATAGGAAATCACAGTCGATTCGCTTAAATGCTATCTTTACTTTTTTTGAATTCAATTTGCATAAAAATTTCAGAGCAAATGTACACCGAACATTTTTCGCTTAAAAGGTCAAAACGATTTACATAATAAAGAAAAACTTCATATATGACTTAAGTTGGGAAATTTTGATGTTCAGAAATATCATTAGTGTATATATATCGTTTGCGCATAGATCTATGTACCTGTAAGCTGCAACCCGAATAACAAAGCCCACGGAAATGGGCAAAAAACAATTCTCGTTATATTGGCGAATACTGTAATTTTTCGCATTAATTTTAAATAGGCTCTATAACTTTTGACACTGCTATGATTTCTAATGGTGTTCAATCTTCACACTAGCATCCTCAGTGTTATTTTTTATATAAAATATATCGAATACTTTTATCAAGGAAAAATCTATTAAAATATTTCATGATCACATTCAAATTCTTTCAAAATATAGTGGGTAAATAAATAAATTTTAATATTTACAGTACGTATACCCTATAAGAATTAATAGGATGTAAATATATGATAAAGCACGGAAAAAAGCACGTAAAGTTAGTATGTGCACGTAAAATACATGTAATCAACGCGGAAATTTTTTGCATTTCATTTTTGTCAGATGGAAATGCCCGTAAAAGATGTGACTTAGGAAAGGCACGGAAAATAAACGCAATAAAATACCCCCAAAAAAATCTAATGTCGAAATGCACACGTAAATTAATGTAAAATCACGTTGTGAGTATTTTCGGGAAATGATTTACAAGAGGTAAAGTGACACACATTACGTGTGTTTTGCAGATATTTTATGATGGTTAGTATATTTACTATTTCTTTCCATGTGTTTTCCGTATCTCAATTTCATATAGGACCAGAGAGTGAAGATTCCTTTTTTTAATAATTTTAAAACTGGTTCGATCTTCTTATGATGATACATGTATTTTGATTAATTTATGATTAACTGATGATAATGCGTTAACGTTAACTTAAATTGCTCAATACGTGTAGTTAAATAGACAGAATAAGGAGGTAACGCATTGCTGTGTTCCTGGAGTATTTCAGTATACATGTATATCAAAGCGATCAATTAACGTTAATGATGCCGAATTGGAATGTCTTTCTAAAGAGTGATCGTGAGCTATGGAGGTGAAGATAAATCAATCTGGTGTGATGCTCAGGAATATTATATATTTTTGGCGTGAGAAGGTTATGGTATTGATGAATTGTCACGTTTATCGTTTGGATTCTTGGTTTTTTATTTAAATTTTTTTCCTTATATGTGCTTCAAAGTAATTGAATTTACAATACTACATATAAATACATTATGCTATATTTTATATACATCCATTGTATATTGAACATATGGCTGCTCGAGTCGCTGAGAGAAACGAATGAGTCTTTAACATAATGAAATGATAGAATATGAAAATATGAAACAACAGCTATTAATGTTCTTCATTTACGTGATGAAAATGAACAATTTTGATCTTTCGTACTTTGATTCTTCAAACGAATGCGTCGAATATTGTGTTGTATACTCGTTATATAAATATGTTACGAAAAATTATATAAAAAAAGATGCTTGTCTGCTGGAATTTACATATTCAGGAAGTTATTTTTCCACAAATATGAGCGAATTTCATTTCGTGGTTAATAACGCAAATGATACGGATGAAGAAGTATTCGCGAAATATTATGAATATCCTTCTTTAGACGACTTTAAAGAGTTAAGTAAATGTACGCCGTTTTTTCTTTTTCGTATAAAGGTTAACAAAGCTTTGCAGAAGGGTGGAAGAGTAAAAACAGCAGGGGAAATCTCTAGACTCGCGTCAAAATTGTGGGATACAATGCATGATGATGAAAAAGATCAATACGAACAATTGTCAACTGTATTATCCCATCAACCTGATAATTGGATAAATATCTCTTCGACGCAATACCTTCAAATATCAACTTCTAACGCTAACTCGATTCGATCCGAGTTATCCCGTCAAATTGTCGATGTGTCAAATATCTCTTTGATGGGTCACCCAATTCCTAACGTTAACTCACCTGGATTCGAGTTATCCAGTCAACTTGTCGAAGTGTCAAATGTTTCTTCGATGGAACACCTAAATTCTAACGTTAACTTGCCTGGATCCGAGTTATTCAGTCAATTTGTCGATGTGTCGACTATCTCTTCGGAGGAACACCAAATTCCTAATGCTGACTCGCCTGAATCGGAATATTTTATATATTCCAAAGAGATTTGGACTTACGAAGATTCAAATCTATTTGTACTCGATGGCGAAATTTACATTATGTTATAAGATGAATAAGTTGAATATTAAATAATTCATTTACAGTTTTATCCAAGGAAAATAATAATTATATATGATTTATTAATTGTAA